TGTTGTTGTTATTTTTCCTTCCTTTCTTTCTTCCCTTGGTTTTTCCGTCTTGATTCCATAATAATTCGATGATGATGATGATGATTTTGTCAATTTCTCTCTCATTTCTCTCATTTGCTTCTTTTCCATTATGTTCAAATACACAAACAAATCTATAACCAATCCTATTGTTTACAGCTGTTTATGATAATCATCATCATTATCAGCATTGAAAATGTGTCCAGAATAAAAAAAAATTTAATGTTTCCCGTAATTCAGAAAACAAAAACAAAAACAAAAAAATGGAACAACAACATTGAATGACAGTGATATTTTTGATTTGACGCACTTAAGAATCATAATCATCATTATGGAAAATAAAAGAGGACAATATTCCTTAATTTTATAACCATATGATATGATATCATTTCCATTCATTTAATTGAAATTTGAGATATGAGTTTTTTTGTTTTGTTTTTTGTTTTTATCAAACAAAACAAAATTACATTTAGTATCCATTTACTTATTATTAAAAAAAATGAACATTTTTTTTTTTTTTTTGGTTTGTTGCATGATACTACCTATTTGTATCAAACATTCCTATTATGTCATTTAGCAATGATATCATCATCATCATCATTGTTGATTGAATGGATGGATGAAAGTTTCTGTTCTAAAAAAAATTCTCTCTCTCTCTGTGTGTTTGTGGGTGTATATATGATACCATTCGATGAATGAATGATGAACATGATTTCTATGTTTATCGCTAAACATTATTATTTTAATTATTCAATCCTAACAACAGCAACAGAAAAAAAATGAGTGAAACTCAAACAATGATGATAATATCACTTTTCATATATTTTTTTCTTTTGCTACTTCCGATGGCTTGATAGAATCTATTTCCTATATTTATTTCTTTGTCATCATTTTTTTAGTTTGGTTTTGGTTTTGTTTTGATCCATTTTTTGTCTAATGGACCATTTTTGGTATTGTTTTTTGTCTTTTTTTTTGTTTTCACCACTCGACATACACATAATAATAATATACGAAATGCAAGAAATTCAATATGCAGAAATATTATATTCCATGTTTCAGGGAAAAATGAAAAATTTGTTTATGGATAAAAATGAAATGAAATGAAACGATGAAAGAGATTGAAAACCAAAAATTGAAACATTATTCTTATGCATTTTTTGTTTTGTCAATAAAAAAATGTTTGTTTGTTTGTTTTTTGTTTTCATTTTTCTATTCCATTTTTTGTTTTGTTTTTAAATTACAAGATTCTTATATGAAAGTTTTCTTTTTCCCAAATAAAGATTGAAAATTTCAATTACATTCGATATGTCTGTGTCTGTATGCGTTCTTTGTAAATCCATTTGGTAACCGATTGCTCGAATAAATGGTGGAAAAACAAAAAATTTTCCACTATCGTTTTTTTTCTTGAATTCTCATTTTGTTGTTTATTATCAGATACAAATCCCACCAACCGAAAAAAAATATATTACGTTAAAAGCCATTAATGGATGAAAATAGGGCAAGAAAAAAAAATCAGTTTTGAATTGGCCATTTTCATTTTCATCAATCGATTCATATTGATTGCCGCAAATCGAAAACAAATTAAAGTTTCCTTTTTGCAAAAAAAGGTTTTACCATTCAGTGTTGATTACTAATTTATTGATCCGGAAAAAAATTAAAATCAAAAACAAACATGAATGACCATCATTAAAAAAAACAAAATTTCAGCAAAAAAAAATGAAGTTTAAAATGTTTTTTTTGAGCAAAATTAGCAACAAACTTTAATCTTTGTAACCATTGCACATCCATATACCGCGGTAATGAAAAATAATATACTTTTTCTGGCTATTGCAGAATTGAAATGCATTTTTCATTTGAACATTTTTTCATTTTTTCTTCTTCCAATTTTTCATTCATTGGTGCATCTTTAATCTATTTATTTATTTCAATACTAAAATTAAGCAAAAAAACATTTTTGAATCCATTAGTTTTGTAAATTTGTTATTGAAATCAAATGAAATAAAATAATTTATTCAAATCGTACTTATTTTGTTTTCATTAATGTTGTTGTTGTTGTTGTTGGATCTGGTTGTATTTTCATCGAAATGATGAAACGAAAAAGCAAAACAAAAATTCAACAAACATATGAAATTCATTGCTACGATGAATATGAATGTATATTTTTTTAAAAATAACGGCCGTTCACTCTCACTCTTTTTCATTCATTCATTCATTCATTTTGTGTTTGTTCTTCATTCATTCGTTCCAATTTTTATTTGAACACGAATCTCAATTCAATCAATTCAAAAACATTCATTTGAAAATTTGGATTTTTTTTTGCAAAGAATTTTCTTTTTTTTCTTCTTCTACCCATCCTTGGTCATAATGGAAAAATAATTGAATTTTTCTTTTTTGGAGATAATAATTTTTCATTCATTTTTTTTTGTTTGACATTTTTGGCATTTTAAAAAAAATTTTTCTTCTCTCTCACTTGTCATCAGTATTGTAACATTTTCGGTCAACAAAAAAAGTGAGAGATTCTTGTTTTCACTGATTCTCTCTCTCTCTCTCTGACTGTTTGACCATAAATAGATAGAATCTTTTAATCATTTCCTTTTCCTTTCTTTTTGTTACTCTGTATATATGTGTGTGTGTGTGTGGATTGATTCTAAATATTTCTATTTTCATTTTTGTTTATATGCAAATTTTTTTTTGACTTTTAGTTTAGTTAAAGTAACGGTCGTTGCCAAATATAGGATTAAAATTCCTTATTTGGAAACACTGAATACTGATGTTGATGATGATGATGATGATAATAATTGAATTTATTGCAGCTAAGCAAGAATATTCTTTTATTCATAATGTGAATACATTTTCCTAACAAAAAAAGTTTCATTTAATTATATATTGTATTCAACAATGCAAAAACTGAATGTGCATACTGAAAATCAATTTGATTGAATAATTTTATTGTAATATCAATTCAGTAAGCAACGGTGGAGACATTTTTGTCGTTCCACTGGTTGTTTTTCTTATTTCTTATTTCTTATTCTGTAGTTACAGGATATTCGATTTCCATAACTATAATGAAATCAAAATCAAATCATAAAAGATGAAATAAATCTTTTCCCATCATCATTACTGTGAAATAATATAATTTTTTGACGACAAGTGGTGAAATTGGAAAATGGTTCAGTTCATTTTCAAACAGCGGGTCACATATTGAATTAATAGAAATGATTATGTACTATGAATGAGAAAGAAAACTAACCATGTATATCTTTAGATGAAAGAAAATCTTTCAAAGAACAATTCAATTGTAAGATTGTTTGAAACAAACATGTAGAACCAAAGAAAAAGAAAATTTCTTTTCAAATGGAACCGGGAGGGAGTTATACATACATACATACACACACAACCGCATCCTATTATCTGGATTAGCTAGAGGCTAAGAAGAATTCTATAATTCTGTTTTTTTTGTGATTGTTTTTTTCTCTCTCGTTCGTTCATTGTTATAATCTGCTTGAATTGTAATGTTGTTACTATATGCTTATATTTTCAGTATTTACTGAATTTCTGGAATCTCCTGAAATATCTTTATGGAATCTCATTTTATTTTGGAGTTTGTATTTATATGTTTACAGTATCTATGTCAATGATGTTCGCTTTGTGCAGTGTGTTTGTGAAGATTGGATAATGGATTGCTAGCCTATTTATTTTTTCATGGGAAAATACCAAGAGAGAGTTATGCATTCTATAACTATCTCCATATTTTTTTTGTATGTTTAATATATAAACATTGGGTCTGTGTTTAGTAATGTATTTAATAGATCAAAGTTTACAGTCTTCTTCTTCTTTTTCTTGATTTAGACAAACACACACACACAAACACCCAAAGATATGGTAAGAATATGAAAAAAAGAAGAAGATGAAAAAAACCTCAACTAACACATATAACTGGTACATTCAACTTTTGTTGTTGTTGTTGTTTTGTTCCTGTTCCATGTTTTTTTTCTTTCTTTCAATTCAATTCAATTCATTCACTTCAATAGTTTATGCGAGGATTCTGTTTGCCTGTTTTTTGTTGTTGTTGTTGTTTCGTTAATTTCGTATCTTTTCAACTTTATTTTTCTCCTGGATCAAATTATTTTCTCAAGCTGAATTCCATTCCGATTCTTTTATTTTGATCTTCTTTTTTTCATATAAACTAAATTAGTCAATTAATAATTGCTAGCTGATCACTTTTTGTGTCTCGATGATGATGATCAAAGATGTCTTTATTTTTTTTTATTTATTCGATGAAATTCTTAACATTTTTTCTGGCATTTGTTTTAATTACTTTATTTCCTGATTATTTATTAATGTAATGGAATGAGAAGATCTCTAAATCTTTAAGATTTTTTTGTTGTTGAAATTATGGTTTGCAAAAAAAACTAACTTTTTTTCTTACAATTTTACCTATAGTTGCCTTAATACGCTGCTGTTTGGATGCCAAAATCCTTAATTCATAACTTAACTTATGACCAAAGTAAGTTTGAAAATTTGCATTTTATCATTTGATTTGATTTATATTTGTAAAATAGAAATCAAACATCTATAAAACGGATGTCAAACATCATAATAATGCAAAACAATCATCAACATTATTACAACAACAAAGACGATTCTCAACATCATCATCATCAACAACAAGAACATCAACATCAACGACAAATTCGTTATCATTATCATCGCCATCGATGGAAGGTGAATCAGAAATGATTGCAGGTAGTAGTAGAAGTAGTCATAATCATCGTCATCGTCGTCATCATCATCATCATCATCATCATCATCGTTGTTGTCATCAACAACAACAACAGCAAATAACAAATGTTAATAATGATAATGATAATGGACAGCAACAAATTGATCAAAATGATGATGATGTTGATAATAATGATAATGATGATGAAATAAGAAATGTTCCAGATAATAATAATAATAATAATGACAATAATAATAGTGATGATGATAATCGATATTGCTGTTCGATACAACAACAACAACAAGATCAACATCAACTACCAAAATCAACATCAACAGATTCAAATCGTTATTCAATGTTTCGTTCAACATGGAATATATTTACTAATCATTTTCATAGTCCTTGTATGAATAGAAATGAAAATAAAATGTGTTGTCGTTCCAATTGTCAAAAAAGTCAACAACAACAGCAACAACAAAAGCATCATAGTTATGATGAAAAACATTCACAACAATCAAAGAAAAAGAAAAAGAAAAATAAACAACAAAAATTTTATATTCCTGAACCATCGACAACATTATCAGATAGTGGTACTGGTATTGGTGGTGGTGGTGGAATAAATACCAATATTGATGATGATTTTATTGAAAAAGATACATCAATATCTTTACAGGAAAATTCCACACAACTTAAATGGGAAAAATTGTCACCAAGTGAATTTGAAACCCTACAGGAATATATTCAATGTATGTATTTTTATCAAATTTCAATTGAATCACGTCATTCTCTCTCTCCCTCTTTTTTTTCTTCTCTACTGTATGTGTACATGTCTTCATTCATGGCAGTTTCATTTGTTTGTTTATGATCTAAATGTGTCAAAAAATATACGAGAAAAGAATAGAAAAAGAAAAATGTTTTGAAAGTTTATTTTTCTTACAATTTTCAGTTTGAGGCGTATCTTTTATTATTATATTGAATAGGTCATTGAATAATCTTAACTTTTCATTCAATAATAACAATAATAATGTCAATGTAGGAATATATAGGCAATATAATAGATCTAATTTGAAATGTATTATTAAATTGTGTCCAAATTGAAAGAATATCAAATAAACTTTATATAAATACAATAAAAGATTAGACATGTCATTATTGAATTGTGAATGGATGACATTTGTTGACTGTGAATTAAGTGAAAACTTTTTCGTTTTGTTGATGAAGGTTTTTATTAGTTTTAGTTGTTGTTGTTTTTGTTATTCTAAACCATTTCTGTCAATTGCATTTGTTTTTGGTATTTTTTTTTTTCATTAAATTTTCTTCATCACTGAATTATTATTAGCTAAAACTGGATAAAAACAAAAAGATATCATCATCATCATCATGTCATTGAATTTAAGATTAAATAATGATAACGACAGTGAAAAAGAAGAAGAAAAATGTTGAAACTTTCATCATCAAAAATTTTTCTTTTGACTATCATCAATCATTGATGAAATTTAAATTTGATATCATTCCAGCATACAACACCATAAACATCTTATTATCTTCTATCTTTGGTATTCTGCAACACAGAAAAAAATGAATTGACACCGATCTTTGTTTGTGTAAATTCTTTTAGCTGAGCCCATCTGATCTTAGTTTTGAATAATTGATCGGAAATTTTTTTTTTGAATTCTGGCATCGAAATTGAAGAAAAAAAATACTAAATTTTGATACTTATTGAAATGTGTGCCTTGCACGAACAAATAATAACTTTGCAAAAACTTGCTTACATGGAAAACAATCATGAATTTTATTGCATAGAAACATCTTTTTATTGTTTTTTTCTTCAATTTTCATTCTTAGAATTTTTTTCAATTTTTTTTGAAAAATTCATTCACTGTTTCTAGGTTGATTTTTTTTTAGTTATTTAAGTTTCTCATTTTTTATTTATATTTTTCATTAGTTTTAATCATTATCATGTTGTAGTTGCTTGTTTGTTTTTTTATATTTCTTTTTTTCAACAACAAATTGTGTGGCTATGTCTATGACAATGATGATCGGTATTAAATTTCATCAATTTGATTAAATTAGACATTTAGATGGGCAGGCAGGCACACAGACAGATTATGTTCAACAGCAAAAATTAGAATAAAACACCCAAACAAACAAACAGAAATAGTCAGAAATATTGAATAGTAGAAACATGGCAAATGACCAATAAACATCGATATCATTAGTAGTAAAGAAGAAGAAGAAAAAATAGGTGTTATCCAACAATATTGACCGAAAAACAACCAGAATATAATATTTTATTGATGATAAGATTATATTATTGTTATTGAACAAAAACATTTCCAAAAAGGCTACTGATGAAAAGTTTTTCTGTTGTTGTTATTGTTGTTTTTGTTTTATTTGGTTTAGTTTTTCAAACAAAATTGAAAACAAAAGAAAATTCTGTAAAGCTGTTGTTGTTTTTGGTGTTATTATCACCAATGTTTATTAAAGATCCAAATGATGATGATGATGTAAGAAAGTAATAAGAATTTTTTTTTGTGTGTGTGTGTGGTTGTATTTTGTGATTTGACATATTTGAAATAAAAGTATTAATATTCTATAGTTTTCAAGTTCAGTTCAATTTAATTCATTTGACATTTTTTTTTGTTGTTGTTGTCAAACATGACTTTTTTTTTGAAATTCTTTTTCTTTTTGATCTGTTTTGCTACATGTTCATTACTATTTAATTATTATTGTGTCATTATATTATTTGTGGGTAGAAACTCAAAAAAATCAAACAAGTTTTTCATTTTAATCCTTTCTTTTCAATCATTTTCTGCAATCATGAATTGAATTTGGAATTTTGTTTCACTTTTCAAAAAAAAATGGTACATTGTTTTTCATTTAGACATTTTTCTTGTTAATTCATTCGTCATTTCTTTTATTCAATTTAATAAGCTAATCTTTTATTGGTTTTTTTTCGTAGAATTTATCACGATAGTCATATATGTCATATATGTCAAAAGGAATGATAATGAAAAAAATTCAAACATAGAACGAACATAATTCAAAGTTTGAAAATGAAATGATTATTTTATTAAACAGAAAATCAATTAATTTAATTGTGATTCATTCATTCATTCATTCATTCATTCATTTTTTCGGTGAAAATTTTGTAGAAAAAAAACCTGAAACAAAATTTTATTTGATGAATCAAAATCGATTCAATTTATTTGTGTGTGTGTGTTTTGTTCATTACAAATCCGAGATTTTCCGTTGAACAAATTATAAAAAACAACAACATTTCATTTGTGTATTTTGTCAAAAACTAATGAGTTATTTTTTTCATTATTTATTCATTCATGTTTTTGTTTTGTTTTGTAAAATTAATTAATTTAGATTCAAATAAAAAAGTAACGGACATTTTGGAATGTGAATTCAAATCGGATGACGGTGCTCTTTGTCGTTATCATCCTGAAGGAGTAAATATATTTGTGATGAATAAAAATAATAATAAAAATTTCCATTTGAATTTTATTATTTTCTTTCTTTCTCTCTGTATATTCGGTAATCAAATGGTGAATTGACATCATCAAATCTTTTTTTCGTCTTCTTCTTCTTCTATAGGATATAGATTTGGAAGGCTTTAAAACATTCATGAGCATCTATCTTGAAAATGAACTTTCATTAGATTTAATAAGACGTTTATTTTTATCGTTTGTTAAAAAACCTGAACATCCTGAACATCAAACATCATCAACAATCATACAATCATCCATTGAACAACAAGGAAAACAATATCAAACAAATGAAACATTATCATCACATCATCATCATCATCATCATTCGTTGATTGGAGGAGGAATTTTTTCACAATCAAATAGTGCCATTTCGGGTGCCATACATTCAATTCAGGCAAAATTTAATTTTACAAGTTTAGGTGGTATTGGTGGAATCAGTGTCGGTGGTGGTGGTGGTGGTAACATTTCAACAACAGCCGCATCATCATCGGGACAAAATCAAAAATTCACTATGAATACTACGCCTACGAATTCAGATGCTGAAGAATCACGATTACAATGTTCAGTAATTATTGTTTTTTTTTATTTGTTTATTCTATTTTTCTGATGTTTTATTTCATTTTATTAGCTAATGGCAGCAACATCAATGGCCATTTCACCAAATCAAACAATGAAAAAACAATATCATCAACATCAACGACGACAACAACAAAAACAACAACAATCACAGAAAAATAAAACAAGTGGATCGTTGCCTGAATTAACTCGTGATTCAATTGTATTTCATGTGAATAATAACAATAACAACAATAATAATAATAATAATAATTTAACAACAAATCGAAATTCATTATCAACAACAACAAAACATTATTCAGGAACATTAGCTGAAAAATATATTCATTCAATTACTGAACGTTTACATAATTTTTCAATTGCATCAAATAATCAAAATATTAAAAATACTTTCACTGATTCACAACAACATCAACATTTAGATATAATTGGTCAATCAATACGATCTCGTGCTGGTAGTGCATCCGTCCATCCGGTTACATTTACTCATCAACAACAACAACAACAAAATCATCGCTTAAGGGAACAAAAATCATTTGAATCATCACCAAATCATAGTCAAATATCAAGAAATTCATCCAAAAAATCAAATAATTCATTGCTTGTTAATGCACGTAAGTTTATATTCAATTCGTCAATATATCTATTGTCAATGTTAATTTCCCAATAGATTTGATTTTTATTTTATTTTATTTTATTTGTTGAAATGAATGATAATGATAATGATGATAAAACAGAATGATTACCATATCTATTTATAGAATAATATTCACATTATTTGACAATACAGATGTTTCGCTTTTTTTTGTATATAATAAAAGCGATTTTTGAAAATCAATTCTTGTGTGTTGTTGTTGTTGTTTTTTTTTCTACATGAAAACATTAATATGACAAAAGAAACAGAAAAAAAATTCGCATGTTTGAAGAAGAAAAGAAATTATAAGAATATAGAGAGAGGAGAAAAATCTTTCGAAATTCTTGATTTTTTTTTCTTATTCGGTTCTCATCATACTTTTTTTTCATCAACCAATGGTTGAGTAGACAAAAACATCATAATATTCTTTTATTTTTTTCTGGTTATAAACACACACACAATTGATGTGAACAAGAATTCTGATGGTCAAAACTTTGACATTTACGAAACCATAAATGAAAAAAAGGCTTTTTTTCTAGTCCAATTTTTTTCCGCTTGTTTTTTTCTTTGGTTTTTTTCGTTGTTCTCAAATATCAGCATGTGTGTGTATGTTCGCTTGTGTGTGAATTTATCAAAGAAAAAAGAAAAAATATAATGAACAAACTTATTACATTAAAAGAATCAAATGCACAAACAATAAACAGTACAGATTTGAACAAACGCGATGACAATAGAAAACAAAAAACAACAGGGAAAACCAAAACCAGAATGAAAGTATAGATTGTTTTCCTTCCCCCCTCTATAGTTACGTTATAGTTATTTATTATTGTTCCATAATAATAATAAAAAAAAATCTTGATTTTTATTTCTCTCTCTCTCTCTCTCGGTATATGTTTCATCATCATGGTCATAATTTTTTTTTTTTTGTTCAGGATTGGGATTTTTTTTTTATTTTCTGTTCCCACATTGATGAAACACCCTACGGCTTATATTCCATCTGTGTGTGTTTTGGACAGAGAATTGATGAACGAAAAAGAAAAACAACTTAATTAATTTTTTTTTCTTCTTTTTTTTTGGTTGTCTATGTTAAATTTATATATTGCCATAAATTGATATCGGATTTTCCTTCATCACTCTTTTCTCTCTTTTCAATATTGCCTTTCAACAGCAACAGCAGCAATATTGATTATAAATCTAGATTTATAATCAAATATTGAAAATAGAAAATGATAAAATAAACTAAATATTTAAAGTGATTTGTAAATATCATTTTGTTGCTTTCATAAGTGTGATTAATATATCTGATGACGATGATGATGATGTTCCGTTTAGTTTAATAATTACACACACCATATTTTCAATCAAATTCAATATAAATAAGCTTTAGTCATGTAATAATGTTTTTTTCTCTCTCTCTACACTATGATGTCATCAACATATTAAACAAATAAAATCAATTGAAAAAAAAATTATCATCAAATGAAAATTACGAAATTTTTATTATCATTTTTTGCTTTTGTTGATAATAAAAACAATTGTATTCCACATACACACACACACACACACATTGTATTTATTTTTCTGTGGTTTTGTATGACACAAACACAATGATTGAATATATTTTATTAAGTATCATCATCATCAATTTCAAATTGAATAAAATTAGTTTAAACAAATAATGAATAAAGAATAATAATGAAGGTTGTTGAATTTTTTTTTGTTGCTTAAATTCTCTATTTTAGCAATCTCAAAAATAGATAACTGATGAATAATATATGAATTGAATTGAATTTTATATTTGTAAATTTTTCTACTTCTTCTTTTTTTTTCAACATTGAATGATTGAAGAAAGAAATTATAAAATTTTATTCAATTTCATTCAAAATAAACATTGCGAATTTATTTGTTTGTTGCCTGAGCTGTTGTTATTGTTGGTAACTATAGATGACAATCCATTGATTCGATTGATCCATAAAATCCTTTGTTTTTTTTTCGTTTGCATCATTGGAAATTTCCATTCGATTAATTTTCAATATTTTTTTTTACTTCTTATTATCCATAAGATTCTTAACTTTTTTTATTTATTTATTTGTTTAGAGATAAAACCAATACGAAAAACAAGTTCACATATCGATGTACATTCATTATGGGTACCATTGAAAGATGTTGTTTGTTATCTTTCATTACTTGAGGCTGGAAGACCTGAAGATAAATTGGAATGTATGTTTTGTTTATGAATGAATCATTAAATTTTTATTCTTTTTTTATTTTTTTCAAATTCTTATCTCTTTACCTACAAATATTTTTTTTATGGATATTAAACAGTCATTTTTCGTCTTTATGATACGGATGGAAATGGATATCTTGATAGTAATGTAAACATTCAAAACAAAAAAAAACAACATTATTATGATGATCATATTCACGTATTTTAACAATACTTTAATGCAATGTTTTTTTCCCTATTTTTCCCAATAATAATTTCCTAGGAAATGGATTGTATTGTTGACCAGATGATGACAGTGGCCGAATATCTTGGTTGGGATGTTTCAGAATTAAAGCCTGTAAGTTTGATATTAAAAAAAACAAAAACAAAAACAGACCCAGACACAGACAGATAATAATAATAATGCAGTAATATCATTATGTTTTGAGCTGGAATTTTTTTTTCGTTGTTTTTTTTTCAATATTTATCGATCATCATTTAAAATGTTTGCTTCACTGCATGCAATTTTTTTTGTCTCGTTGTTGTTGTTGTTAGTGTAATCAAGGGTTTATAAACACTAAATGTAAAAGTCAAAATTATAATTTTGAGATTATTTTCCTTTCTATTACGACGAAATTTGATGAACAAAAAAAAAATCAAATGAACAAAATCCAAATCGAAAAGAATCATCAGGATTTGTTGAATCCACAATGATAATGATGATGATGATGAAAAAAAACTGATTTTGTTCTTTTTTTTGCTCAATCCCTTTTCACCAAAAAAATATATACATTGATTTGATGTTTGTATATGTTTTTAGATACTTCACGAAATGATGATCGAAATAGATTATGATGCTGATGGAACTGTTTCATTGGAAGAATGGAAACGTGGTGGACTAACAACCATTCCACTTTTAGTTCTTTTGGGACTTGATTCGGTATCGTATCGTATTTTTGTTTTTTTTCTGTTCTTTTGGTCCTTATTTATTTATTTTGTTTCCTTATTTAGTTGTCTTTTAATGTACTTTGATTTTGTTTTCTCTCTCTCTATTTTCTTATTTTGAATTTTTTTTTTGTTTTGTTTTGTTTTCTCTTTTCCAATAATGTCGATTTTGGGTACAAAACAAAATTCTAGCAAAATGTCAAAGATGATGGCAATCACGTATGGCGATTGAAACATTTTAATAGACCTGCCTATTGTAATCTTTGTCTTAATATGTTAGTTGGTCTTGGTAAAAAAGGTCTTTGCTGTGTTTGTAAGTGTTATTTTCCTTCTACTTTGCATGATATGTACATTGAATCGTTATTTTCTTTTACATCATCATTTAGAATTGAATATTTATGTTTAGATTTTATCTAAATTTAATGATTAATCCATACCAAAAAAAATCAATTTTTCAGAGATAATTTCCAATTTCAGTAGGCAACTGTAATAAAATAGATAGTTTTGTAATTATTGATACTGAGAAAAAAAACATTTCGAAATTGAATGTAGAATTTATTGATTTCAACAAAGCAAAAAATTCTAGAAAATTCTATTTTTATTTAAAATTCTTTATAAATTTTTCTTCTTTTTGTTTCCATTGAATTTCAAATAGTCTGTAAATATACTGTACATGAACGTTGTGTACAACGGGCACCTGCATCCTGTATCAGTACCTATGCTAAATCAAAGAAAACATCTCAGGTAATAATTTTTTTTTGTTTGAAAATCATTCATTTATTCATAATAATAATTCATTCATTCATTCAATTGTTATTATTATTGAATGGAACAAAAAACAAAACAAACAAACAAACTAAAAACACATTTATATATAGGTATTTTTACATCATTGGACTGAAGGCAATTGTACTGGAAAATGTCATAAATGTAGAAAACCAGTAAAATCATATAATGGTATAACAGGTTTACACTGCCGTTGGTGTCAAATGACGGTAATTATCATTATTATTATGATTGGTTGAAAATGAGAAAAATTTTGTTATTTTTAAATTATTTTTCATTTTTTTTAACTTTAAAACTTTTCAATTCTTTGTTATCATTATTACTTTCTTGATTCTTTTCATTAAAAAAATAAAATCTTAGCTACACAATCATTGTGCTTCCCAATTACCACCCGAATGTAATCTTGGTGTTCATCGTGATCATATATTGGCACCTATTTCTATTGTGCCTATTGTTCTGGTAAGTTTTTATATATACGATGATGATACAATGAACAAAGGAAACAAGACAAAAACAAATGATATAAAAAGATATTCGAGAAAAAAAAATGACAATCAGATAGAGAAAATTTTTAATAGTTTTTTTTGTACATTTTGATTTTACAAAAAAAAAAATTCATTTCAGTCATAACATTTGGCTTTTGTCATCATAATAATAAACTATTGTCAAAATGTTAATCAACCCTTTCAATTTCATTGAGAATTTTCAGATTATTCTGTCTTTTTTTCTTCTTCATAAATGTAAATTTATTATGCTGGTCTTATAGTTTTTATTGTTATTATAATCAATTTCAGAATTTTATCTCATTTCATGTCATGTTTCTTTTTTTTCTTTTCTGTTGGAGAATCATTTTTAATTGGTCTTGTTTGAAGCAAAATTCTTCATTATTTTTTTCCCTCACTTCTTTCATTGTTTAATTATTATTGTTTTTGTTTGTTATTCTGTTTATTTTATTTTGATGTTGTTTAAAATAATTATTATTCTCATTCTTTTCAAAGGAACGACAACGTAGTGTTAATAGTGAACGTGGTGAAAGAAATAAACATCGTCAACCAATATCCGAAACACATAGTGTACCAATCGAAATGACAACATTACCATTGTTAGCTTCGGATAATAATGCACGTAATAAACAACAACAAGAAAATGTATGTAATTTTTGTTGATTTTGTTTTGTTATGATGAATATAAAAAAAAACATGACATTCAATAACAATCTATTTATTCTGTGTTTGATTAACAAAAATAATGATAATAAAAACGACTGGCATATTTTTTTTTAATGGGAAAAAATATATATTGTTCTCTCATTTAGATGAGTCCAATTTCATTTCAAATTACGCCTTTAGAAGGCCAACATCCATTGATTGTTTTGATTAATCCAAAAAGTGGTGGCCGACAAGGAACACGGTATGTTTGAATGAATGTTTTAATAATTTTGCATTAAAATTGTTTTTTTTTGTACAGAATTTTGCGTAAATTTCAATACTTGTTGAATCCACGACAAGTTTTTAACATAGCAATCAAAGGACCATATCAGGCATTAAGTTTTTGTAAAGATGTATCAAATATTCGTGTATTATGTTGTGGTGGTGATGGTACTGTTGGTTGGATATTGGATACGATTGATAAAATGAATTTTACATCAATACCGCCTATAGCTATTTTACCACTCGGCACTGGTAATGATTTGGCAAGATGTTTACGTTGGGGACCAGGATATGATAATGAAAGCCTAAATAAAATAATGAAAAAAGTTGAAACATCCAGTGCTGTTATGTTGGATCGTTGGAAAATTGATATCAGTAGCAATGAATCAAGTGATGAAAAAGGTGATCCTATTCCAAGTAATATATTCAATAATTATTTCAGTATTGGTGTGGTATGTATACAAACAGAATAAATCTTCGATGTTTTAATCTTCTTTTTCTTTTTCTTTGTTTTTTCCATATATAATTTATATAAAAAAAGGATGCATCCATTGCATTTAAATTTCATTTGGAGCGTGAAAAACATCCCGAAAAATTTAATAGCCGTATGAAGAATAAAATGTGGTATTTTGAATTTGCAACATCGGAAACTTTTTTTGCTACTTGTAAAAATCTTCATGAAGATGTCGATATAATGGTTAGTATACAGTTGTTTTTTCTTTCTCAATAAAATATTAACGTTTTTTTATATATCTCTTCATCCACCATTAATACGATCGAAATTTATTCATGTACATGTGCACAATTTATATCTATCTTGTTTTTATTTGAATTTTTATAACTATCTTCACATATATATAGTGTGATGGTCTTCAATTGGACTTGAAAAATGGCCCTTCATTACAAGGAATTGCTGTATTAAATATACCATCCATTTATGGTGGTTCTAATCTTTGGGGTGAAAATGTCAGAAGAAATAAACAACAACAATCAACGAAAAGATCTAAAATAAAATCCTATGGTATTTATCACCGAAGTAAGCAGCATTCATTCTCATATATTCATTGCCTAACCATTCAACCATTATATTGATCATTAACATTTGTTCATTGATTGTTTATTGATTTCTAGGATCCAATTCAAATATATCTGGATATGGTGAAAGTTCGACCAGTATCAATAAAGATTTAGCTAATGCTGTTCAAGATATTGGAGATAGAATCATTGAAGTTATTGGCCTTGAGAATTGTATGCATATGGGACAAGTAAAAGCTGGTCTTCGTGCTTCTGGTCGTCGTCTAGCACAATGTAGTAGTGTTGTGATAAGGTAGTTTCATCATCATTCATGCTTAATTAATTAGTTTGAACAAAAATTATTAATTTATTCTCAATCTTTTTCTATTTATACTGTTGTTTATTTTAGAACTCGAAAGCGTTTTCCAATGCAAATCGATGGTGAACCGTGGATACAGCCGCCATGTACTGTAAGTATTCTTATGAATCAATTTACTTGATTGAAAGTAAATAGATAATTTTTGTGATTTATTTTTATTTTTCTTTATCAACAGATACATATTACACATAAAAATCAGATGCCAATGTTAATGGCAACATTGCCTGAACCTAAATCACGTTTTTCATTATCATTTTTTCGAAAGTGAGTATTTTTCTTTTTCCCATTAACTCTCCTATCTTCTATTAGTTCCTCTTAATTGAATAGTTAATGTCCATGTTGATTTTTGTTTTATTTATCTCTCTCTCTCTCTCTCTCTCTCTCTCTCTCTCTCTCTCC